TGCCAACATACCAATTTGAATATTTTATCTAGCTCCTGGTACATGCTTAGCTAATTGGCTAAGTGAAAAGATTTCTCTCCTTACCGAAAATAATAAATCAATCTTCTACACCTAAAAACAATATATTTGGGCTGAAAAATAATCAAATATATTTTCAAGACGCAGAGAACTACATCTCTACGCTCGAGTTTGCTCCTGTGACAGCGGGACTGCTACTGAGGCGTAACAGGCTTGACCGACACGCAAACACCCCAGTAGTGCCCGTGGCGTCCTGACTCCCGTGGGGTGCAACTACATTGTCGCTGGGGTCACTCAAACCCCGAGAACTGAGCCTCTACTTTCGTCAATCCTCTTTGTTACCGACTTTGACGAACAAGTCTAAGGCTGAGAAAATAAAATCGCGAAAATATTACATTAAGATGGCTGCTATGGGTGGATATTTTTATTCATTATTGCTTATCAAGAAATATAAATATCATTAGAAAGCCTATAGTCAACTTATATTGTGTAACTAAGGACGGATTCCGCGACAAATTCTCGTATAACGAGAAACAAAATAAAAACCATTCGCGGAGTAGTTGTGTCGTATATATTATGGGCGACAACAACGGCCTATGAAGTCACACGCGTATAAAATGTCAACTTGGCCGACACGCTCTCGCCTATCTTGATACAATAACGATAAAGTAACAACCTATTTTTTTCGCTTCAATCAGGTGGTGCGTTCGCAGTGTTTCCTGTTCATTTGAGTAGGTTTAGAAACGTCTGTTTGGCGCATAATTAGGGAAAGGGTGAGGAATACAGTATAGCCGTGTATTACATATACTTACAGTATACTCCGTGCTTTCATGCTCAGCTCCAAAAAGAAGCAGCTCATTTAATTTGGAGCCGAGCCCTCATGCTTTGCAGCTCTTCATAAATTCTCTACTTTGAGGGCTTGAAATTATTTCAAGTACTGAATTAATAGTAAATGGATGTCACCGACGGTAGTGGCCGTGCGGTTAGAGTGCTGGACTAGCATGCCAGGGATCCGGGTTCGATCCCGGGCACCGGCGGTCAAAAATATATAGCGCTCTGATCTCACGGTTCCACTGCCGAGCGGTAGTCCTGTCAAAAGGACGACTGTACCAGGGTAGGTTTTTCCCTCAGATGAGGTTTTCCCTCCCTTTCGGCAAATGCGGTACAGGGGGTTGGGGGGTGGGAAGGGAACAAATCGTAAAAACCCGAAAGGGTATACGAGTGAAAGAAAATTTTTTAGTAAATGGATGTCAGCTCTTTTCTTTTCAAGTTTTATTGTATTTTACAATTAATTTGACAATTTTCGGGAACTAGACTTAACGCACGGCGGTCACACTGTCGTTTTCACTTCACCACTTATTATACGGTATGACGAGGTAGAATTTTGCCCCCGTCCCCCCGCTCCCTAATTAATATATTCAGTTTTCATAGTTTAAGTTAAATTTACGTAATTTTTTTTGCCATCGTTGGGCAACCCATTTCCAAATATTCCTTACTCCCGTATATAGCTGCTAATAAGCCAATAAGCGAATAAGCAGCTAATAAGCTGCCCTGAAGAGACCCTGTGGTGAGACGATGTGGGAAGAAAGCTATGAAGAGACCCGCTGAAGAGAAACTTGCAAAGAGACCCTAAGAAGAGAAATGTGTTAAGAAAAGAGCTATTGTGAGGAGGGTGAACTATTGTATGGAGGTAAACGAGTGTGGAGGAACTCTTGTGTGAAGGATTTTGGTGCCGAGGAACTGTTGCGTGGAGGAATATTTTGGAGAGAAATATTATGTAGTGGAATCTTTCGAAGAGTTTGCCCAGGAGAAGAGAGAAGGAAGGAAGGAGGAAAATACCCCAGGACTGCCAAAAGGAGGGCTCATTTCGCGTAGCCGCCAGTGAGTTGGCCTCACCCCCACCGTCGAGTTAGTTAGTAGTTAAAAGGCCTGGATTTAATTTTGTGTTGATAATTTTGGTAATGAGGTTTTTATATAATTAATTTACTATCTATTAACCACCCACGCCCTCTTATTTTACAGATCCTCTCTTAAATTCAAGGAAATTCCCCTTAAATCTTGAATTATAATAAAGTCCCGACTATCGTGACTTCGCCGATAATTATTTACATATTTATTCCCCGACCAAGGTCACACTGGGAAACAAACGTTCATAAGGCTATTTGAATAAAATGTAAACACTGCAAACACGCCACCTGACGGGAATAAAAAAAAAGTTTTTATGTTGACAGAAAACGCGCTGAATTCCTGCCTTGATGGGATGTCCAAAAATAAAGATAAAATGATGAAATAATAATAAAAATAATAAAAATAATAAAAATAATAAAAATAATAAAAATAATAAAAATAATAAAATAATAAAAGATGGTCGATATAGATGACCACTGCTGTGTTGCCGAGAACGCTCTTCGCTGTATCCTATATAAAAAGAGAGATGGGCCATTAATCGAACATGGCGGATTTCATGGAGATAATCGATTGTAACTATTCTCGATATATCGATCATGGGAATTTTTCATATGGGCATGCGCATAAGCAATATCATATGCGCATGCGTATGACAAGCAGAGTATACCTGAGCTTCAATCAGTAGCGCCACGGCGGCCGCAACGGCCGCGGTGTTGATCATTGCTGAAAATGATGATTTAAATGAATGTGACAAATTTTTTGTTTCAATTTTTGGCTGACATGATAATAATATCGTGCCTGGCATACAATAATAAAAACCCTTCGATTATTTTGCAATTACATTTAAAAGTGATTTTAAGTAACCTCTTATCAGCACCCAACAATTTGTTACTACACTGCGTCAGAATGTTTATATTTCATAGGAACGGGAATAATAAATAAATTTTTGAAAATTTGTATGTATAATGACTTGATAAGACACAACACGACTAATTAATCAGTGTATCATTGCAAATCACAAGGACAAACTTTTGAGAAAATTGGGATTGACCTCAGACGAGATATTTTCAATCATGGACAACTTTATGTCGCATTATCACGGGTACGTTCTTGGGACTCATTACGAATATATTTGGGGGATCAAAGAGAATCCAATTTAGTGAAAGACTATGTTTATAGAGAATTATATGATTCAATAATTTGACTTGACGTAGAATGTTTGGTTAACGTAGAAAATTTAAGTGATTAACAGTTTAAAATGAGCTTAAAATCATCTCTTTGTGATACACTGATTAATTAGTCGTGTTGTGTCTTATCAAGTCATTATAGATACAAATTTTCGAAAATTTATTTATTATTCCCGTTCCTATGAAATATAAACATTCTGACACAGTGTAGTAACAAATTGTTGGGTGCTGATAAGAGGTTACTTAAAATCACTTTTAAATGTAATTGCAAAATAATCGAAGGGTTTTTATTATTGTATGCCAGTCACGATATTATTATCATGTCAGCCAAGAATTGAAAAAAAAATTTGTCACATTCATTTAAATCATCATTATCAGCAGTGATCAACAAGCGGCCGCGGTGGCGCTAGTAAAGAAGAACTGAGAATGGCCCTTGACCAAACTCACCCGTCGAGATGCGCGGGAGCGTATCGGCCGAGTACATCTTTCATAACCTATGAACCTCCAAACCAACCATCAAACAACAGGCCGAGCGCTCCCAAGTATCTATCCACGACCCAACTACCCCTTCCACTACCTTCAAAACTAATTTTCGTAATTAAATTAAGACACGGCAATTTAGAAAGAAAAAATAAACTTAATTACACCACATAAATCGCGTATGCTCTTTGCATTAATTCTAATCCTCTCGCAATTAAACGCACCATGAAAAAAATTCACGCATAGCAACAGATTTTTTCGCATATTTTCCGCGGTAAGATTATCTCAAAACTGAAGCCGTCAGATTTTTGTTTGAAAGTTGACAGCATCTGTTTCCAACGGGCGGGTATTATCGGTTCGTAATCAGCGTGGCGCGCGAATAATTAGAGGTTGGCAAAAGTATCGTGGAAAGTGCACTGAGAAGAGATAAGTTGAGTTTATTTTCAGTGATAAATGAAAAAATATTTTCAGTGATGAATTTAAAAAAAGAAATGCATAATTTGGCATCTCATGGTGGCTGACACGTAACCCTTTTTCTATTTTTTTCCACTTTGTTCATTTATCCTTGGAAATAAACAATTTTTCTAAAAAAACGCTCTTTACTGCACCCTAAAGTATAAAATGTATTTTGAAAATACAGTTTTCCAAAACAAGAGATGTTTTAGAAAATGGATTATTTCACGAAGCTATTATTTTTGGGGCCAAAATGCAAGTGGCAAGCTCCCCAAAAAAGACACAAAAAGGATATATAACTCCTAATATCCCGAAAAAATCCAAAGCAAATCGATTTTATAAAATCACCTGACCTTTATTGTGCATTGCATTCAATTCGTAACCTCAAGCAGGCTTAATATGAAATTTAGAAGATTTTATTCTCGTTCTAATTTCAATTTTCAAAAAAAAGAATAATTCGGCAAATTAAATGATCAATTTCTCTCAAAATGATATATTAATCGAAAACCTGGAAATCCCCCCAAAAACAAAAACAAAAAATGTTTTTGTAAAAAAATGCGCCAAGCACATATTTCGATGTTGTTCATTTGAAAAAAAAATTGGAAAAAACTTAAAACAACAATTACTTAAAAATTGAAGCCGTAACTATGGAAATTTGAAAAAAATACACAAATAAAAAAAGACGCCAAGCTCATTGAACTTACCAGTGAGGAAAGGTGGTGTTGATAGAAGTGCATACATCGTTTTGAGTTCTTCTCTATGAATGTCTTGACTAAGACGAGTCCCATAATATCCTACAAAGAACATCGCAATCAAATCGAATACTCGACTCAAGTCGAAAGGGGTAAAAAGGGCATTGTGAATCAAAAACTATTCCGCAATATGGTCAGGATCAACGTACTTGGCGCGGTTTTTCCTGATAACCTCGCCTATTTGGATATGCGATCTTTCCTTTCTTCGTTAAAAACTACCCGTGAAATTTGACCTGAGCAGTGCTGACCCGTATGGCACTGCTCACTGAAAAGTTTCCCGTGAGAATCTTTCATCCCTATGCATCAACTGTGGAACTACTATCGTTTGTGTCTCGAAAATAGTTGAATCGAAGGAACTTCCCTAGTCCGATGGTCTGCTCATCAAGATTATCAAACTCATAGGTCGTTTCATGATAATCAGCTGAAACTTTCAGTTGAATTTTTCGCTTTGTTAATTCCCCTAAAATTCCCAGACTGAACTACAGTTCGTGTAATTGAGGGAAGTACTCTATTATCGCGAGTTCTAAAGAGAAAGTGGTGAGTTTCGAAAAAACCGCGCCAAGTACGTTGATCCTGATCATATTGCTGAATAGTTTCTTGATTCGTGATGCCTTTTTTACTCCTTTCGACTTGAGTCGAGTATTCGATATGATTGCGATGTCCTTTGTAGGATATTATGGGACTCGTCTTAGTCAAGACATTTGTAGAGAAGAACTCAAAACGATTTACGCACTCCTATCATCACCAGCTTTCCCCACTGGTAAATTCAATGAGCTTGGCGTCTTTTTTATTTGTGTATTTTTCTCAAATTTCCATAGTTATGGCTTTAATTTTTATGTAATTGTTGTTTTAAGTTTTTTCCAATTTTTTTTGCAAATGAACAACATCGAAATATGTGGTTGGCACATTTTTTTACAAAAACATTTTTTGTTTTTGTTTTTGGGGGTATTCATGTCGATCAAGCATCACTTTAAAAAATTTTTTGTTTCTCGTCACTTTTGATATATTTCTTATCGGAATAATTTTTCTGCAGCTGTTTTTGAAACTTCTTCCATGGGTTCAAAGGAGAAGAGTTATGACAGCTTCAACCACATTATAAAAGTTAGTTTTATTTTTACCATGCAGTAATCTACGTTTCACTAGGTTGCATAGATATTTTGGAAATTGAAATCTTAGTATCCAAAAAGCTAGTGGAAGAAGTTGTCAAAAATTTCAAAGATCATCTGTAGGAACGTAGATATTCAAAGTTACACCAGAATGTTGAATTTTTTGAATAAAATGATGAAAACAAAATTTAATTAACAAACCATTTTTGTTTGGTCATTGTTACTCATTAGGTGCACGAATGGCAAGTACGAAATGACACCGTCAAATCGAAACTAGAAATCGACCCGGCCACGCAGATGGACGCAGGAGTTTACGAGTGCACTGCTGATAACATGTATAGCATTGACAGAAGATCATTCAAGACGGATTTTTCAATTGCATTCGATTGACAGAATATTTTTTCTCAATGAAATTGTCAAGATTACTGATCAACCAGTGAGGCTCACCTTTTATCCACCAACTTCCTGATTCTCAATTGACTTGAAATTGTATAGAATGTCAAACTATTATGATGAAATAAAACTATACCATGAGAATTTATGATATTTATTTCGTTTTATGGAAAAATAAATATATACTAGATATTTACCTCTTCCAAATTGTTTAATAAAAAAAATTAACTATTTTTAAATATATATAGGGTCTTTCCTTATAACCCTTAAATGTTCCATCCACCCATAAATTTGGGCCCTCTAAATATCAGAAAAAAAAGAATCATTTACACTATACTTTTCAAATTATCCATACGAAGGATAGGCCAACTAGAAGTGTATGTTTTACCGTAACAGAGATGGTGAATGAGAGCAGATGCGATATAAAGACAGTCTTTCCAGTTTCGCCGGCAGGGAATGCGAAGTGAAATAATCCGAATCCCAATAAGATGAAATTCTCTTTTCGCCAGATGTCGACTTCTCATCTGGCCATCCCAAATAATCTCGGAACGATTGAAACCACCAAACATACCACGTTACAATAGATAAAAAACCAAATATGTGAAATAGCTATTACAAGCTATAATAATATATTATAGCTACTTCTACTAATTTTTATTCTTTCCGTTGTTTTTGATGATTATCAAGATGAATAATAACTCAAAAAAATTGAAAATTAGATAGAGTAGCTATAATATAATATAGCTATAATATAATATAATAACTCAAAAAAATTGAAAATTAGATCAGGGCCCGGCAACCTTCAGGTAGTCGGGAGCCAGCCTATTACAAGGGTCGGGATAATCCTCTCATCCTAATATGTACCCAATTAGCCAACCATTGTGTGCGAGTAAGTCCCAGTGGTGACGATATTTTAGTCAGCCACGTAGAGTGGCGTGCGAGTCGAATAAAAATGGCGGACTCACCAGAATTTGCG